GGCACTTGTTCTATCTGGGTGGATATTTGCACACTACAGCACCTTTAAAAGGCAGGTGAAATTCCGACTAGAAAATGTCAGAGAACTTTCACGGCGCGCAAAACGGGATAAAACACCTAAAATTTTTGGGGAGCGCTTGAGGTTCCTAAACCCTGTTTCCCCCTGGAACGCAGGGGGGGAAAGGATACATGTTATAACACCGGGAAAAAATCCTAGAGGGACTATTCCCAAAATTGCACACGAAATCACTCATCGAAAGCAAAAGATTGGTAGAAAAGCCCACCCCCCCAATGAAAGGGGGGTATAGCACGTTAAGGACCATACAAAAATGTCGGGGGCCCCGAGATGTTAAATCCCTCCCACACCATAAGGGGGTTTAAAACGCCCCCCGGGGCATCTTCAAGCTGGACTGGACAAGCACCTAAAGTCATTTCCCGGATCACCCGGGCGGGGCTCGTACGTTGTTTGCGTGCAGAAGCGCAACACCCGGGTTTTGATCAGGTTGATCCCCCAGGAGGCCTGGTCACAGACGGGCCCGGGGGCGTTGACCCCCAAAACCTCTCCAGGTAAACCCCGGAACATGGTAAAAGGTTTCCCCAAGATTTTTAAACATAAAAAAAAATGAAATTACAGAATTGTGGACTTGGCAAGGATGATTCTTCACCCCACTTTTAAAGCTCAAGCAAAAAAGACAGAGGTAGGTAGGTTTGGGATTTTAAAAAACTACGGGGAGATATTGTACGTTATAATAAAAATCAAATACTCCCTTTTCTGTTTTCCCCCAGAGAGTGGAGATTAAGACTCGAATCTACTTCATTTTTTCCTGTTTGTTTTAACCACCCGTGTAAGGGGAACCCAACACCGAGCAGAATTTAAGACCAAAACTGAGGGGTTTTAGACCAGAATGAGCGGCAGGGGAGACCAAAACTTTGGTTAGGCCTCATTTTGATTATGCTGCACATTTTTGGTCACCGTATTCAGAAGGATAAAAATGCACGGGAAAACGTAAAGGGGAGGAGACAAAGTTTATCCTATAAATAAGAATTTTCCCCCTATGGGGATGATGAGGGGCCCTAAAATCTGACTATCTAGAAAGGTGTAAATTAGGGGGGATTGAGAAGTTAAGGGGAAAACAGGAAAAAAATAAAGGGGGAAATTTTTTTTTATTTTTTTATACAGGGCCGTTTTCCCACCAAGGCAGGGGGGCCCCCCCGAAAAAAAAAAAAAACTTTCACCACATTCACCCCATCCTGTTTGCCGAAGGGTGTTTTACCTTTACATTTTTAAACTGAAACATTAACACCCCCCCTGCTGAAAAAATCTACCCCTAACAGGCTCGCGTAACGGTTTTAATTTGGAAAAAAATTCAGATTCGGGAAAGGATTTTGGGAAAGCACGGGGTTTGGTAATAGGTTTTGAATGGTGGAAGAAACTCCCGAGTACGCTAAAAAGAAAAAACTTGTGTTTTTTTAAAATAGGTTGGGATAAATCAAAAGGTAAGAGTAGGTGTGGGGGGTTTTGTGAGCTGGACCTGACTAGCTTGTCTAGGGGGCCCTGTGCGTTTCCTTCCAATGGATTTGACCTGAAAAGGTGGGCTTTGGGCTAAGCCGGCGGGGAATGGCCTGCCGGGATGGGCCAGTGGCTGTTCTTTTTAAGGTAATTTAAAAGAGCTTCGCATTTCAGGGTAGATATTTTCATGCTAGGCTTTTTTAAAAGCGTGCATTTATTTTTCAAAGTTTAGGATCTTGTAGTAGGGTGATTTTTAAAGGAGGTATGATTTTTAGGAATTTTGGGTTTTTGGAACACCAAGAGGTTTCGCTGCTTTCTAATGACCTTTTTTTATAGGGTATTTATTTATTTATTTAGTAATTTAAGCATACATACAGAGGGTACAAAAAAATACAGGTAAGACAGCATCCCAAACCCACTTAATGCATAAAATTAGGGGCTGGCTAAAATTAACTTAAATTAACTAAGAAAGAAATCAGTGATAAGCTTATTGAAAACGAAATAAAAAGCAAAAATGAGATTAAAAAGACAGGTCTTGGTTGCATGCATTGTTGTACATTCGAGAATGGAGTATTCTGTTGGTGTTTTTTAAAAAATAACAAAAGTTAGATGGGTCCTGGGTTTAACTTTATTGATATAATTGTGAGTAACTTTTAAAGGTATACAATTTATATTCAGTTATTTAGTATTTTTTGGTTTTGGGTGAGAAAGGATCTTTGAGAAGAGACTTAAAATTTATAAACAGGTGTGTTTCTTTTATTTTTACAGGAAATAAATTTTCCTTTTTTTTGGGCCTTTTAGTGCATTGATTTTTTTTGCATAGCTGAGATGGACCGGGGAAACAAAGAGTGCGTGCCTTGATTAGGGTAGTGTTCTTTTGAGGTTGGTAGGGTTTTGAGGGGGGGGTTAAATCAAGTTAAGTTTTTCTTTTTGAAATAGGTGCGTAAAAAGTATGGTTTTTGTTGGTTAGGTTGAGTTTTTTTAAATATTGGGAGTGTTTGCCTTAATTGTGATTCTTCCCTTGTACCAGTTCAGCCATCAAAACTTTGGGCCCCGGTCCCTGGCCCCTTTGTGTACCTCTTTAATCTGAAAATACCTTTGAAAAAATTTTAAAGATTCATCCGGGGCTGGGACCAAGAGAACATGTACCCGGGATAAATTTACAGCATTTTGGATAGCTGAATGTTGAAGACAGGTAAAAAAAATGAAGCTAAATCATTTTATAAAAGCTCACAAACAGTGTCCAGAAAACTTGTTGTAAATTTTTGTAAAGGGTTTGGGGGAAACCGCAGCATATTTTACTGGGGGGAGAGAGCACAACTTTGTAGTACCCCAGTCAGGGCCAGGCTTCAAACATTTTATTTTACGCAATAAAAGGAGGGAACAGCTACCCACAATGTCAAGGCCAGCTAGCTTGAACCAGTTCAAGAAGACTCCCAAAAGGTCTGATGAATGAAGCAACAAAAAGGGGAGGGGAATGATTTTCTATTTTTTAGCAAAATACTGAAAATTTACTTATCCCTAGTAATGCCCCCTCGTTTTGTAGTGCGTAATGACCCTGGTAGTAGTGTCAAAATGACCCTGATTGTAGATGTTTTAATCCCCCCTCGTGTAGTATTAGTCTTTTTAGTATGATAATAAATGTTACTTCATTATAGAATAATAAAAAAATATTAAACCCTTTTATATTTAATAATAAGGAAAAAGGGCCCCCAAGGGAAAAAAGTCACTCTGTCTGACTTTTTTGGGTTATCCTGGGTTCTCTCCATATGTGTATGTAAAAAATTTTTTGAACTGTATTGTGTATACCTGATTTAAATTTTATTTAAATTAACTTACTTACTTCAAACGTCTATTATGATAACCTACCTGGATTTCTTTCCCTTTGAAAATTTGTGAGTTCTTACTTTGTAAATTGTGAATTCTTTACCTCTGTAACTTGCTCAGCTATAAACTTGAGGCCCAGCCCCTGGCCCCTTATTATCCCCCACGGATGGGTAGGGTGTAAAACTTTTAAAACAAAAAAAAAACTGTGCCTGTATGAGAATTTTTACTTTTCTAACTGCAGCCTTTTGTTGGGAAATTTTGGGGTTTGAGATGGTTAATTGTTGTTGAGCCCCATGCAAAAAAATTCCATGGTGAGATAGGGGTAATAAGAGAGTGATAAAAGGGCCCAGGAGGGTGACTGGGAACATGTCCGTATCTTCGATGTTGCCTACAGTCTTGGAAATTTTCTTAGAAATTTGTTGTATATGTGTTGAAATTTGAGTTTTTACAAGGTGGATTCTAAAATTTTTCCCCTCTGTGCTTTTTGATAGGTGATCCGTTTACTTTAGTTAAGAGGTACATCTGTACCCTTTTTACCAAACTGAATGAAGTAGGTTTTGCGATGTTTATGTAAGTTTGTAAGCCCTCATCCAGGTAATATTTTTGTAATTCGGTGTTTTACATTTTGGGTGTGTGATGGGCTCGGGTGAGAAAAGATGTATGTAGTGTCTCTGCAAAAAGTGGGGGTTTGAGTAATTGCGAGCTTTTGGTGGTCATTTATGTATAGGAGAAAGAGAGAAAGGGCACTTCCCTGTGGGCCCAACTGAAATTTGGGTTGTGCGGAAGGTTGCCCCCTTTTTCGTCCTATTGGGTTTTGTTTCGAGGTATGCTTTGGGGAGTTGAGGGGGGTGCCCTTTATACCAAGTGTGCAATTTTCGTGGGCAAGTCATGGTAAATGTATCAAAAGCTTTAGTAAGTCAATGAAATCCCCCTGGGACTTCTTTTTTTCTATTGCTGTATATATTTCTAGCTGTGTATAATGCATCATTAGTTTTTTTTTATTTGGGCCCGAAACCAATTTGGAGGGGTTTTAAATGTTTTGGGTTGGGTAGGGTAAAAACGTTTTTTTAAATAATTTTCGAAGATTTTTAGGAGGGTGTAAGTTGGATATTGGTTAGTTATTAATCTTTTGGTTTTTTTGGTGGGGTGTTGTATTTTAGAAACTTTTGGAAGGTGGAGGGTTCAATGGATTTGAAAGAGGTTCAATGATTGGTTAAGATTTGGGCCCTTTTTTTTGTAAAAAAAGGGTGGTAAGGTTTTAAAATCTCCTGCCTTGTTTTTTAGTGCGTTGATAAAAAGGGGGACTTCGTATGTTTTCCTTATCGATTTTAAAAAAAAAACAAAAAATAAAATAATAAAAAATAATAATAATAATAATAAAATAATAAAAAAAAATAATAACAAAATTATTAAAAATTATTTTATTATTATTATTATTTAATTTTTATTTTTTTATTATTATTATTTTTTTATTATTATTTTTATTTTTTTTTATTATGAAAAGTAAAAACAAGTGGTTTCCTTGTGGTGCGAAAGTGGTGTAGGTGTACGCACCTCCTAACGTCAGGAAGTGTTAACACACTGTACCACGAGGGTCCCGCACCTGCTGTGATCGCTGCTATACCATGTTCCCGCTCTCTGCCTTTTTTCCCGTTTTAATAACATTTTTGGGTGAACTTTGAAGGTAATAATTTGTGTTGGGGGTGACCGGGAGCTGTGATACAGTAAGGGCGACACGTGCAGAGTTCAAATACCGAGGAACGTTTCGCCCCCCCCCCACCCCGTGGGTTAAATAAGATAAAATAAGATTTGGTGCGTCATCCACTGTCTTGGCTTATATCCATTGTGGGCCTTTTTCTTGTTCCCCAGGATGCCCCACACCAGGGGACTAACCCCGGTACCTATTTCTGCTGGTTCAAAAACTCGCCACTAAAAATTAAACTGGGAAAATTGACCCAATTCCATCTATGTTGCACACCGAGCCCCACAATCCCACAATTTTAAGTCACATAAAAATAAAAAATAAATCTACTCAAGTCCCCCCATTTCACACGAGAGGAAAGTTTTTTTTCGCCCATTTCGCCCATTATTTAAACCCCTTTTTCAAACATGGAGAGCACTAGACCCACTTACTCAATTAGGAAAAAGGGTTTCACCAAAACAACTACAGGGTAATATCAAATTGCTGTTCTATCCAAAACTTCAGAAAATCGTGCACAAAGATTATACTCTTTATAACAGCACAAAAAAAACTCATTAAATTTTTTTTTTATATTTATTATAAAAAAACGCAGCCCCAAGGGGTATACGCACTAAAATTTCCCCAAGCCCTGCCTTTGGCTTCGGAAAAAAAAAAGCACAATGATCAATTTTGAAAAGCTATACCTGTTTTACTGATGGTGGGGTTGCTGGGGGTCTTTTTTTCTGTCTCAAAAAAAATGCAATATTTCTGTATGTTTGTTCGTACTTACCTTAGGTCACACTACACATATATTACAAGCATATATATTCACACACCCCGGGTTTTCTTTTTATCTTCTTCTAGTTTTGTTCTTGTTTTTTTTCTGCTTATCTCCATGGGGAAATTGGACGAATTCTTTCCCCCGAAGCCAGTGTGTTGTAAAAGGTACTAAAATGCGGGGGCAAGGGGTAGTAACCCCTTCTCCCGTAATATTTCTAAATTAAAAAAAAAGAAACTTTGTTTTTTTTTTTTGGGCACCCCCCCTCGGTGGGATACGGCGGCCTTGAAAGATCTACCTACCCTCTCCTAACTTAGTGACGTACTCATTTTCTGACAATCAATTTGGACAGGGCCCCTGACCCTAGAGTATATCCTCATTCTTTTTTTTACATGTACAGTCCTTTGTATAAAAAATTTTTAAAATATGTATACAGGGACCCCCGCATAAAGTTGGCATCGCATATGTTAAATCCGCATGCGAACATTTTTTTGTAAAATTTTTTTCCCCGCTAGTGCTAAAAAAATTTCCTCAAAGCGTTTTTGCCCGGGGGCACTCCTGGGCCTGAGCCAGCCTCACTGTTCTGTCAGTGCTTGTTTAAAGCCCGCTTCCGTTTAACATTCAAGTAACAAATTTAAATTTCGTATTATACAGCCTTTTTTTTAGTGTTTTACCCCGAAAAAATAAGTGCTGGGGCCCCAAAAAAAGCTTCTTGCAACCCCCGGAATAAGGGTGGAATTTTCTGTGGGGGTGAAGAAAGAGACATTGCTAAGTATGAAAGTGGGGCGTGTCTCCGATGGCCGTTGTATAGTAAACCCAATCAACCACGTTCTATTATGCCAAAAGACAGCAATCAAGGAAGCTGTTCTTGCCAAAGGTTTAAATGCTTTTGAAACAGAGATCGCAAGTGATAGAAATGTGAGAACTGTTATTGGTGTGGATAAAAGAAAAACGATGCAGAATAGCACTTCAAGCGATCTAAGTGAAAAGGCTAGAAGTTGCCGAGGATTTTTTAAATTTGAAAAATCCTGAACTAGTGATGATGTGAGTGAATTTTTAAAGCCCTCAAAGGTTGGTTTGAGAGGTTTAAGGGGGTTGGGAACATAGGATAAGGGATGGTTAGGTGCCGTTCGGGCCAAAAAGCACTGAAAAATATGGCATGAATTCAAGGGTACATAGACAGTGAAGGACTGAAACCTGAACAAGTTTTAATTGTGAGAAACAGGCCTTTTTGGGGGAAAAAAATGCAAGCAGGACTACATTCTCAGGAGGAAAAGGCACTCCCAGGAATTAAAACCTTGAAAACAGGCTTTTTTCTCATGTGTGCCCATGCTATGGTTTGCAAAATGAAGCCCTTTTTTAGTGTATCACTTGAAACCCCAGGCGTTCAGGGGAAAAGAATTTCCCAAGGGAATTTGTGTTGGGGAGGGGGGCAAACTAAGGCATGGGTCACTAGGACTTTTTTATGATGGTTTTCACCAAGCATTTTCCCCACTGTGAAAAATTCCTAACTGAAAAGAAAATTAAACCCTTAAGGCCCCGGTTTAGACAAGCCCCTGGCTCTAAAGGTGGCAGAGCGACTTTGTGGGGGCTGGCTTCTTAAGGGCAAGTTTTTGCCCCTTTTTACCCCTCCCTCCTGCAGCCCTGGACCGCGGGGTTTTTGCAAACTTTAAAAACTGTAACAAAACTTGTTTAAAAGGTGCTTTTTAGTGATCAGAAACTCAATTGACTTAAAATTTAAATCCTCAAATTTTGTAAACCTTATAGGAAGGTTGGGAGGAAAGGGCAAGAGGGCCTTGAAAACTGTTGGAAAAAACTTGGCCAGAATGTGTAGCCAAAGGGGGGTTTTGAAAGGGTTTTAGGGTAACCCCGGAGAGGATATGCCAGTTGAGGAATCAGTTGTGGATTGGGGGGAAATCCCTTGGGGGGGTTGGGGGGGTGGGGGGGATGTGGAAAAGTTGGGTTTGGGGGAGGGGCAAAAAAACTAACCAATGGCTGCAGTCAAATTCACGCAAGAGGCCCCCACCGAGGAAATTGCTTTGGAGGAGGGGAGAGAGAAAATTTAAGAATTGCCCCCTTCAAGTTTTTGGGAAAAAGTGAAAGTGGTTTAAGTGCAAAACCTTCTGGATGAAAATCACCCTCGGCGCTATTGCAAACCGTGCTTGTGACTATTACACTGCACTGTTGGAAAAACACTTTTGGAAAAATCAAAAGGAACGAAGGGGACAGGCCCCAGGGGATATGTTGGGACAAGTCCCGTGAACTTAAAATGGTATAAAATCGACGGTTTTTGTCTTACTAACGAAGTCCGGACTTGAAGTGTCCATGGGATTAAAAAGAAAGGGAAGCAACCCCGGAAAAAGGGCTTGACAAAGCCCCAATGGGAAGGGGTTCCCTTTTAAACACTAAAACCATCAGTCTCCCCCCCCCATCCCAAATCATCACCAACTTCAATAAAAGGGAATGTCATGTAACTGTGATGTTTTCTTTTAAGTTTGTGTGTATTAAAAATTTAAAATTTCATTGGTAAATTCTTTTTTTTGTACTTTTGGGGGGTCTTTCCGGATTTTATTTTTCCCTTTTTTCTTTGGGAAAATTAAACGCTAACGTAATTTCGCTTAACATTGAGCCTTTAGGAACGATTAATGCGTTATGCGGGGGTCCCCTGTAAAAAAATGTTATAAAGGTGATGGGTACTGAAAACAAAATTTAAAATGGTTGCATAAACCCAATATATTTTATTTTGCCTATTTAGTGAGGGTTCATTTATCGACGCAGTGTTAGGAAAGGAACTCTGGCGTTAAAATGAGGGAGGCTGTATTATAAGTTTAAATGATAAAATTTTACACAATAAGGGGAAATTTTCACTTTTTCACTGATGGGGGAAACTTTATTAGGCTTTGAATGCCGCTTTTCGATTTTTTGCTTTGTGCCATTATTTTTGCAAAATTAAGGGTATTTTTGAGCCACATTAAAAGAGGAAAACGAAAATGCAGAAACCTCAGGGATATGGGGGTTCTACTGACTAAAAAAGAGATGAATTTCATAGGGCGACCCGAAGTAGATTGAAATCGACCCAAAAATTTAAAAAATATTAAATTTTTCCCAAATTTTTGTGGGATGGGTAAAATTCCCCTATACCCACGTCGTTTATGAGCTTTTATGACCGATTCAATTATTGGGCTGTAAAAATGATAATTTAAAAATCTTCAACTTCCCTTTGGGATGCGTTTACCCAGACTGATTAACGATTTGTCCCCTTTAAAAGATCCTTCACTATCTTTTTTTAGTTAGTACCACTACTCTATCTAGGTTTTTTTTTTTTTTTATTCTTTACTTCTTACATTTTAAATTAAACCATGTGCAACGTTGGGGACTTTATTGTAGACGTTTACCATCCCGTGGCTTATCAAAACAAATTTTTAGGGCTAATTTGAAGACGTGAAATGTATACAGAAGATGAGGTAAACGTCCCTCAGCCTTGGAGTTGGTGCAAAGAGACCGTAGTGGGGAGGTTTTGGGTAGAGGCAAAAGCCTGGTGCTTATTTTAACACGGTGAAAAGGGGCATGTACAGATGAGGGGATAGTCACTGGGGGCAGAAAATTTTCCCCTTGGAAAAAGGTCCTACCCCAAAAGGAAAGCGTTAGTTGTAGTAGTGTTTCATAGCTGTGAAGAAGGATGTATGTCCTCTGCTCCAGAACCTCCTGATACGGTGCTTCGAACCAACTCCAAGGCTGAGGGACTGATTACCTCATCTTCTGTATTAGTTCTACGTATTCAAATTATGTCCGGAATTTGTATTGATAAAGCACGGTGGCAAAACTTTACAAAAAAGATACCCCGGGGTTGCACTTTTGTTTAATTTTTATTTGTTGGCATTTTTTATACCATTTTGTACAACTTCAGGATGCAACACATGGAATCTTGATTTGAGGACTGCAAAAAAAAAAAAAAAAAAAAAAAAAAAATTTTGGGAAAAAAAAAAAAAACCCCTCCCCTACGCCCCTTTTTCTACACACCCCTTTGGGTTTTGGCCTCCCTTCCTTTTTGAATCCCGCTCAGTGCCCTTGCCCTGGCTGGGGGTAAACCTCCCCTTTTGTTTAAAATTTTGTATTTAAAAAGCCGGCTTTGTTTGTAAAACCAAGGCAAAATGTCTCCTAAAAACCCAGGTGGACATTTCTCTTTTGTATATTGTCCATTCTTGTCTTGATTTGTTGAATAAAC